GCCAGTGCTCTGTAGCAGTTGCTTTATTGCACTTAAAAAGTTGGCCTGCTGTGCTCCTCTCTGCAGTTTTGTTTGTCCATCTGTTGTCTTGTCTCTCTGGGACAAAGAACAGAGTTGGAAACTACTTACAAGTTGGGCTCAGATTCAATGAATAGTTCCCAACCGGAGGACAGAAGAGAATGGAACCTCTTTTATCTCTTTCCTTAGAAGTCAGGGCTTGTTACAGAACTGATTGCTTCAGTGTTTGGAAAAAAATAACACTTCAGTCTTTTTCCCTAAGATATACAAGGAAGCAGTCTGAACCAAGGCCTCTCCTCACTCACATGCAGTGTCCTAACCACCAGGCTGCTGAGTAGCCTGCGATGAGCATCTCTGTCCATCCTTCTTGTTGGAGTCCTAGCACTGAGAGATAAATTATGCATCCTGGAGCCAGTGGGTGTTGGAAAGAAAATGCCTCTAACCGGTTGGCAGGGCTGTATAGAAGTTGGATAGATGATTTCCAGGCCGAGTTCTTTTGGATGTAGAATAATTTGTACACTCTTGTATATTTGGTGGCAAAAGAATATGTATTTCGTTTGAATAATTTAGTCTGTTGTGTGGAATAGTTCAAGGGCCGTTGTCTTTTGTGCCCTCGTATGAACATACAAGGGACTTTCTGCAGGTATGGATTACCGATCGTACGGCAGGCCTGGGGCTCACAGTTGACAGTTCTGCTAATGAGGCATGAATCCAACTTCCGTTTTCTTCACAGGAACTCAATAGGGCTAAGAAGATGGAAAAAAATACAGACTATTGCACATGATCATTTTTATGTTTAAAACAATCATAGACTTGCAGAAATGGAGCTGGAAGGGGCCTTGAAAATCTGGCTCCCTCCAGAGAAGGATGAGGTTGTCTGAACCATTCTGGACAGATGTTTGCCTAACATGTCCTTAAAAGCTTCAGCAAATGGAGATTCCACACCCTCCCCAGGCAATCTGTTCTGCTGCTTAACTAGCTTTCTAGTCAGAAAGTTTTTCCTCACATCTAACCTAAATCTCCTTTGCCGCAATTGCAGCCCATTACTTGCTGTCATATCCCCTATAGATATGATGAACACTTTATTCCTTTGCTCTTTGCAGCAGTTCCTTAGATACTTGGAGAGTGTTGTCATTATCCATTCCATTCCCTAGCCATTGCCCTCCAAGCTAAACAATCCTGGTTCAATCTGGTCACCCCCCGGTTTTTCAAACGTCTTGACTATCCTTGTTCCTGACGTGTCATTTTTAATTGATCCGCATCTTCCCTGAAGTAAGGTATTCAGGTGTAGAATTAGAGGCACCATTCCATCCAAGGCATTGCAAAGATAGCGTATCTGCTGAAGATACAGGTGTCCATTACTTCAGTCAGTTTTCAGAGGAGATATGTAATCTAAGGTCATCATGAGGTAAGGAGATTAAAACAAACAAACAAACAGATCGCAACAAGGAAGGTATTTAGTAGAAAACCAGCCACTCTGTGTTGAACAAGTAAACACTTCTCAGTGTTTTTCTGTTGATACATTTCCTCTCCACTTGAACTCCTTAGATAGTATAATCACTGAGAAGTTTTTAGATGTGTTTTTCAAGCACCTTTATAAACAGGAACCCTCCCGAAGTATCGTGGCCGTTAAGAAAATTGTGACTTTGATGTCTAAAACCAGGGGTCATTAGCAAATCACTTGTGTGGCTGTGTTTATGTTCAGGAGAAGACCATCTGGCTAATGGAAAATGTCAAGCCCTTCACTTTGAGTCTCTCTGTGTTTTTGTAGGGCTTTGAGTAAAAGCATTAATGACAGTGTGAACCCTGTCATTCTCACACTGAGCTGCTCACTTGATGCCTTTGTTTCTTGCAGGAATCTTCTTTATGTCTATCCTCAGAGCCTTAACTTTGCCAACCGCCAAGGATCTGCCAGGAATATCACTGTAAAAGTCCAGTTCATGTATGGAGAGGATCCAAGCAATGCTATGCCGGTGAGGGAAGCACTCTGTGCTCAGTTTCTGTGAGTGCTGCATGCTGCTAAGGGAAAGCACACACTACAGCCATAAAATCTCTGTGTAAAGAAAGCCCTACTGAAATATATTTCAAAATAACAGGTTCTAGGGAGAATAAAATTGTAGTAATTCAGAACAAAGGAGGCATTTATATGGAGTTTGCCAAGTAACAATGTAGTAGCTAGTATTTTAACCTGAAATATTTGCAGCAGACTCCCTGTGTTTGGAATAGTAGTATATTTGCTACACTGTGAAAAAAAATAAAGGCAATAGTTATACTTGTATTCAAGGCCAGAAGTAGTCAGCACCTGGTGAAGTTCTAGCTGTGAGGTACCTAGTACACATAGGCTGTACTAATCTGCATTCTCTTGTAAAGCTCTTGTAAAATTGCCCTTTCTTGTAGGGCAATTTGAGACTTAGTGATGAAAATGCCTGTTGAGATGTTAGTTGTTCTAAGTCACTTATTAATTTTCCCTGTTCTCCTTAGTTTGCCTTACCTAGGTTCTGTTGGCCCGATTTCCCTGATGTCTTGTCTGTCTTTCCCAGATTTCTTCTGAATTCATGATCTTCCTGCTTTTTGCCTTTCTGCAGATGAGGAATATGGCAGAGAAATTCTCTCACTGTTACGCTGGCCTAGGGAGTCATTACATACCTCAGTTCCTCAGCTATATCTGTATGCATCTGTAACTGGGATTATTAAAATTTTAAACTCTTCAGTGACTGAGTAACATGTTACATAGGAGTTAAGGAGCAAGTGACAAGCAGGTGTAACTGTACACAGCTGCGCTGAGTCTAGCTGTGAATGGAGCTGTAAACATCTCTGCAGCGTTATGGAACAAATTTTTGGCACGATATAACGGGGGAATTTTTGTTTGTTTTTCTGCAGGTCATCTTCGGCAAATCTAGCTGTCCTGAATTTTCCAAAGAAGCATACACAGCTGTAGTATATCACAACAGGTAAAACATAATACAGTTTATGAAAGGACTTGGGTCCCTGTGGATGGTATAATTCCAACCAAAAGGAGTTTTAGCAGTGTGAATATGGAGTAACTCAATGGTGAATCTGTCTCATTGTTTATTTAACAGTGACTGTCTACACAGCGCTTATAACAATAACTACAGCGTCAGTAGATACTGTAGTTAGAGTTCTGCAATGACTAGAAGCGCGAGTCTTTGTTTACTTTGGTACAATTCAAGAGTATTGTTCCAGAAGCCGTAATCCCAAGCACTTAGCCAAACTCAGCAGATGGTATAAGTACATGCTTCAAGTTAGGTGTGAAGATTGATGATGTACACTCATGTCAGCAAGTGCTTTGTTATTTTGCTGAGTTATTAGGTACTCGGAGCTGTTTAAACTGCAGTTACCAATTAGATGTATTTGCTCTTGAAAATAATTTCACTGCAGCTGGGGTAAGGAGTGCTGAATCTAGCCTTAAAATGTCTGCTGTATTTGTAACTGTACCAGGGAGGGATCCCGCCCCTCAGGTCCGTTGTCATGGCCTGGCTCTCAATCCAAACTACTTTGGGCTGGTATGCTTTGGAATGGGAGATTTATGTTCACATTGTGGAGAATCTGCTGCCTTCCTTTCCAAGGCTCGGGTGGCAGTCTCAACCTTGAGGCAGAGTTCACTGTTTATGGAGAGCGCTGCAACTCAACATGCCTGTGTGATGGGGGGGGGTGCAGCGCAGCCCACCGGACTGCTACTTTCGTTGTAGGATGCCAAGGGTACAGGTCGTGTGCTTCGGAAAGTTCAGGGGTGCCAGGTTTGCTGGGATGAAGTTAAAGCTAAGCTTGTTTCAGTACCTACTATTTCTGGAGAAGGTTATTGAGCAAACTGCTCTGTGAGCTACATTTCCTTTTGGAAGAAATTGGCTGTTTCAGAAGGGCGCTGTGGTTGACCTAGTGTGTGCAGGATGGAGAGGGCCCTGGAGTGATACAAGAATGAGCTAAATGGACAGCGTAGATACAGAAAATGGAAGAATGACACTGTTCCTTTCATTAGTGACAGAACTCAGCATAGCCTGTGATGCCTAGATCTTGGAGACAGCTGTGGTTTCTCTGTATCTTTTCAGTTTGGGCAGCTGGGAGTTCAGAATCACAATAAAATCCTTACAGGGAGGAATGGTATTTTTTTTGTAGAAAGCAGACTTAACAATTAATCTTATTTGCTCCTGTTGTAGGATCAGTAGGTTCCTGTTGTAGGATCCTTTTTTCAGATACTCTTAGTACATACTTCCATTTATCCTTTGTATTTTCATGAAACAAAGGAAAATCCTTTTCCTTTTGAAACAATAAGCATGTTCTTAATGGTTGTTTAGTAACCGTGAAAAATACCTTGGAATCCAAAGACAGTTGTGAAAATGAGCTCAATAACGATGAATTTTGGTATGTTTATCCTAATTATTTACATACTGTTTTATATACTTGGACTGAAAAAAGAAAAGCAATTGTCCAATTTTGAGTGAGATGCCATTGCTGTTTAAAATCCCATATATCTCAGCAAAACTAGGAAAACTGCGAGAAGATATTGTAAGTATTTTTCTGGATTGGAAGTACATACAGCAAGTTTTTCCAGTTCTTGGTAATCAGAAAGTGAAGCTTTTCATCCCTTGAGATATTCCGTATACTTCCTTCTTTCTAGATATTTTAGCTCAAAGGATTCAGTCTCCAGCATATGATAGAAATAAGTCTAAACCACACTGTTTGCATTGATAACTCAGTTGAGGGTCTGGTCTCTGCACAGATCGCCTGATTTTCATGAGGAAATCAAGATCAAGCTTCCAGCCACTTTAACGGATCACCACCACCTGCTTTTTACTTTCTACCATGTCAGTTGCCAACAAAAACAAAACACCCCCCTGGAGACTCCAGTTGGATACACTGTGAGTGTCTTTCACCCCTTTTGTGTTTCCACACAGGATGCATTCATAATGCGTTTGTTTGCAATTCATTTAGCCTGACTGTCAACACGTACGCCATTATAGAATTTGTTAATTGTCGCATTTTGAAGTAACTGTGTTTTCAAGTAAGGAAAGAGATCAGTGAGAAATTCAATCCTACAGAGTTCAAGAACACCTTAAGAAGTTAGTGTTTTTGTTTTTCCTTTTTTAAATTCCTTCTCCATAAAGTGGATACCGATGCTTCAAAATGGACGGTTAAAGACTGGTCAGTTCTGCCTACCTGTTTCATTGGAAAAACCACCACAAGCTTATTCAGTGCTTTCTCCAGAGGTGAGTTGTTCTTCATGCTGAAAATTCACCAGAGAATACTCCTGTTAAAAAAGTGAGAGAATGTATGTGTGTGTGTGTGTGTGTGTGTGTGCGCATGTGTATTTTCAACTCCTAAGTTATTTATTTCTTAAATACTGCTAAGTTTAGACAGCTGTGTTTGTGTGTGATCTGACAGTAAAATAAACATGAATGGCAGTAGTAATTAGAAGCACCTTAGCTCTGCTTTCTGTCACATACTGGTTAATCTTTCTGTTAACCTACAGGTGCCACTTCCTGGAATGAAGTGGGTAGATAATCACAAAGGTGTTTTCAATGTAGAAGTTGTTGCTGTATCATCCCTCCATACTCAGGTAAACATTAAGAGTAGTCATTGTAACACAGGGAGCTTGATAAACATTTGACAGTGATTTGTACGTTTAAAGTACAATAATCTGAAATATAAGGTGGTGATTGTTTTGACTGATTGTTTTAACCTGTTCTGTTTTATTAAGTGCCAGAATGTGATTTTGATGCTTCATATATATTTTATTTGTGCTACAATCGGTAACATGATTTTAGTGAACTTCTGTCTGTTTTTCTAAGAATGCACAGTTTTTATAGTCAGTCACACACTGTGGGAACTGCTGGTTTGTCCTGACAACTTCTGAAGCCGTTGACTGATGAGACATATGGGCAGAGCTCTGAAAGATGTTGAGTTCTCGCTAATTTTGTGACATTAAATGGCCAAATAGGAGGCCTCAAATCCACAGAAAACAGAGTTGCTTTGGGGGCTTTTTGTTGATTATTCATTTTTGCTTGTGTGCAGGACCCTTATCTTGACAAGTTCTTTGCACTTGTCCATGCTCTGGATGAGCACATGTTCCCTGTGCGAATAGGAGACATGAGAATTATGGAAAACAACTTGGAAAATGAACTGAAGAGCAGCATTTCAGCTTTAAATTCCTCCCAACTGGAGCCGGTAGTGCGATTTCTTCATCTCCTGCTTGACAAACTGATTCTTCTGGTAGTAAGACCTCCTGTCATTGCAGGCCAAATAGGTATTCTATTTAAGTTTTATAGAGAATTACAAAGCTGAGAGTTTGACACTTCCAATTTTATCATATATATGTAGAAATAAAAAAGTCCATTTTATGCTTTATTTTTAGTACTTCTAATATACCATGTATCTTCAAAATAAAACATGCTGCCATCCAGATTAGCGGTGATATACACAGGAGCAATATCTAATACAAAGGTTTTCAAGAATGAAGATAAGATAGAGATGCTGTGTGTTCCTGTAACTATTGTCGATCTGATACAGTCAGCATGAATAATCCCTCCTTTTGTTCCCTGTTATGGGCCATCCTTAAATGGTACAACTGAGCATTTAATGAAACTTGTCTGTAGGAAGGCCTACAATTCAGGCACTGGTGAAGAAGTTATTGGTTTATTTTCTGAACACACCAGAGGGGAGAGCAAGCTGTACTGGTATGGTGGACTTTGTAAAACAAGTTACCTCAGATTTCTGGAGGACCTGTAATGAATGTACAGTTTGGAATATGTTGACATCAGCCTTTGAAAATCAGTGGGACTTGTGCACCTAGTCATCGTAGCAATGCTGAACATCAGCATATCTTGCAGGAGGTGGTTAAGTGACTGCAAGGGGACTGTCAGGGAGACAGACTTGAAAATTGAGAAGCAAGACCTCGGCAGTGTGTTTGCAATGGTGCTGGTTTTGAGATTCTTGTCACCTAAAAGGGCTGCAGCTTCCAAGTATGACTGTTATCTTTCATAGTACAAACTGTGGAAGAGGCAGTTTGTGGGAAAAAGTTTTACTTACTTTTTATTGGAAAGCTCTTTCATTCTTTAAGTGTTCCGGTTCAATTTAGTTTGTCTGTACGAAGGATTCAGGACATTAGTGTCTAGCTTTTAAATACCTAAAGATTTGCAGTCTCCAGCTGCCGATCTACTTCGTCCCTCATTTGTTAAGAGTATCTACCCAGGTCCATGTCTGGGTAAATGTGCTCATTTTTAGAACAGAATATATTCAGACACAGAATGGGATTGTTCTTTTTGATACACTGTATATTTTGGCTGAAACTTAAATGAAGGAAATATTTAATATTTAACTGAGAAAAATATGGTGAATATCCAAAGGATTTTATCCATCAATTAATCAAGGACTTGATCTTGCTACCATTCCAGTTGGTAGCTAGAGTTGAGATGATTCCAGAAATTGAACCTAACTTCATTAAATTTGTTATTAACAAAGTGGAAACTTGTCCCTCCAACGCTTATCTTCTCGTTAAGCTGTTTATTAGACATGGTCCGAATTCCAGTTCAGTTTTTCCTGAGAAATGCTTGCTGTGCTCTGTCAGGCTTCACTGCTTGTGATTTAGAAGGTGGATGAAATGCACATTTAAGACTTGATCATGGGTACTGCTGAAGTCTAAAATAAACGCCTCACTTACTACTTTCAGTTAACCTGGGCCAAGCATCTTTCGAAGCAATGGCATCGATTATAAACAGACTTCACAAGAACTTGGATGGAAACCAGGACCAGCACGGCAGAAACAGCCTTCTTGCTTCCTATATTTATTATGTTTTTCGCCTACCAAATACCTATCCCAATTCACCATCACCAGGTAGCTCTTTTTTTATTTTGTTTCTTGTCACACTTTGTTAAAAGCAAGCAGAAAGCGCTTACCGGTCAGGTACTCTGAGCTCCAGCTGCTGGTTCCATGCCAAGACCTGTTATTGACTTTCCTTATGGTCTAGTGTAGCCATTTACAAGATAAATTTAATTACAGTTAGTGATGACAGAGGTTTAACTCTTTGATGGTCTTAAGTTACTGTGTCACTGTTGAAAGTGCACAAGGCTAAGTTATGGCAAAATACTATTTTTAGATTGGTTTTCTGTGGCAAGTAGGTGGATACAGTACACTCTTGGTCTGTCCTGCCTCCCCGTCTCCTTCAGTAGTACTGTTGAACTTTTAGCCAGTTCCAGAAAAAGTTAATACAGCGGCAAAGGAGTCTGAAATACTTGAAAATAGGTGCGTAGATGGAGGAGGGCAACAGATTAATGCCACCCCACAGTGAGTACGAGGCAGCAGAGCAGAGCATATATCTGCATGGGGGAAAAGATGATGTGAATGAAAGCCGCAGAAAACTAGGTTTTGAAAGGACTGTTGTTCACATAAATTGCTTCTTACTTGGAGTGGAAAACCTCTGAGGGGTTTGGAGTGGTTGTGTACTTCAAACTGTGCCTAGTTTTTCATAATTTTCCAGGCTGGAGTCTGGCAAATCCCTTTAACTCAAAACGTCTCTAAATCCACGGGGAGTTTTCTGCTTCCCACAGATCAGTGAATAAAATAGCATTTTAATCGAATCCCTTTCTCCCAGCTGCTTACCCTTCCTTGAAGAGCCAGGCAGGGGAAGGCACAGGATGTGTTACAGCTACCTTAAGGCATTGAAAGATTTCCTTACTAGCCGGACAGTTACACAAAGGCTTGGTTGCGGCAGAGTGGTACAGAGCAGCATGGGATCAAGGCTTTGATGATGTGACAGGATGTTCTTTCGTATGACCCTCTAGGTCCCGGTGGCTTAGGGGGATCAGTGCATTATGGAACCGCTCACGGAGTCTCAGCAACAGCAACCCAGATATATCTGGGACCCCCACCTCACCAGATGATGAAGTTCGTTCCATCATTGGCAGTAAGGTATGAATGCACTCCTGAGGGTCTTGCAGGAACTTCAGTGTCTTTTATTTTATCTTTAAAGAAATAATGGGGAAGTTTTAGTGTTTTTTCCTATTAAAAAAAGTCCTCAGTTATGGCCCCTTCTCAGGCTTTTTCAGATAGTTGCCGATAACCCTGGAACGCCACTCTCTGAAATTTGTGGCTACTCTCTTTGGCTTGTTAGACACCATCCTGCCAGTGTTATTTTCACAAACATATTGGCTAGGGGCAAAAGTCCTTGTGGACTTGTCTCCCCAAGACTAGCAGAATAAGAGTGGTTTTACTACTTCACTTTTCACGGGGCCAGCAGCCGTATCCTCTTACCAGTTGTTATGTCTCCCCAAACCTTGCATTGCTTAGCTTGTCACCCTGTGATCCCAGTCTTACCTTCCAAACCAAAGCTCGCTCTCCTCTTCTGCATTCAGCACTGACAGATGCTCAAATGATTTCTGTACTATTTGTGTCCAGAGCAGGTACGTTCACACAGCAGGCGGTAATCCTAGTCCCTGCATGGTCCAGAGAAGATTTCAGATGGTTAGAAAGTGAGCCATAGCCTGGCCAACTGCGCTGCAGCATGAATTTCAAGCCTGCCAATTCTGCACTCACTCTGACTCCGCACTTGCTAAAAGTGGCCTTCCAGTGAATGTGGACAAATTAGCGCAGAGTGTCTGTGGTCTTACATCAGCTGCTAGGTGCTCTGTACATGCACATGCATATTTATGGCATGCTAAGGCCTAGATTCATGCCACTTAACCTCAGGTGCGTTGTCTGTTTTGGGAGCATAGTTGCCTGCGCTTCCTATGTAATCAGTAGAGAGAAAAAAGCTCCTCAACAGATAATTTATGCCACACGAGATCTAAATGCCTGTCCTTCTGTATTGCCTGCAGAGTAGGCAATAGGATTGCTACAGTCCCAGGCTGGGCACTTCAGTTTTGTGCCTAACATTACTTTGTTTAGAGTTTGTTTTCTTTTTATATATAATAATATGTTATATATGTGTGTGTGTGTGTATATATATATATATATATATGTACCTATTTTTAAATTGTTATAGTTTACACCAGAAGGAAACACTTTCCCATGTGTGGTCCTTCACTCTTCCAGCACAGATTGCTTCCTGAGCCCTTTCAGAGAACTTCTACATTCCATCCCTTGGAAAATCAGTGAAGCAAGTTTGTTAATAAAGTCAGCAGGCTGACCAGACAGGCTCAACATTGGTTGGTCCTGTGTTTTACAAGAGCAAGAAAAACATAGTTTAAGAAAGAGGTCAGCAATTTTAAATGAATAATGACATGATTTGCTCACCAAATAGGAGGCTGAAGAAGCGTGGGTAGGCAAGTCGTTATTTCTTACATCAGTGTGGACTTAAAAGACTTTAAAGTATTTTAAGACTGCTTTGGTACCTTGCTAATGAAACAACTGTGACCTTTTGTGAAATGCCATAGGCACTAATGTGCATATGGAATTTACACAGGATATCAGAAGTTAAACATGTGCTGGCTTAATGAATAATGCCACAATAGAAAATGAAGAGAGATTTTCTTCTGGAGATGTGTTCCAAGCTTTAAAAAAAAAAACAAAAACACTAATGTGTGGATAACTGTTAATAGGAAAGTTTCTTTCAGGATAGCCTGAGTATCAGATATTAGGCTCAGTCTTAACGTACAAATTTTTGTGTAAACGTGATTATATCTGCTTGCTGAAGTCAATAGACATATATGAGAAACGTATTGAGATGCTGAAATGAATATGAGAGGGTAAAAATTCCTATTCTGTTTCTCCAAGTAATGATTTAAGCACATATACCCAAATAAGGAACCTGCACTTTAAATTAGAATCCATCATGGGAGGCTTTCTATTTTTTTTTTTAAAGAACAAATAATATTTATTTGATGGAAATCTTTGGAGTCCAGTCTTGCATTGGTTTTTTTGTAACATAAGATACTTGGTAATTTTGAAAAATTTGCTTTAAGTCATCCCTACGTGGGCCTCTTTCTTAATTCTGAAAATCCAGATAGTCATCTCTTCTACAGGATTTAGAAGATTGCCGTGCATTTGCGTAATAGAGGAAATTTTAGGTCTGTCACTTATTTTGCCTTCATTTGTGAATGAAGGCAAGTAAGTTTTACTACCTGCTAAAGCAAATCTACTAAGTGTCTAAAAAGAGCTATGATGAGATTTTACACTTTGAGTATTCCTAAAATACTGGAGATGTGCTGGGAAGAAACGGAAAAGATTGTGCAGTTCTGTTGCTCTGATTGTGGATTTTTGCAAACTTGTGTTATGTACCTGCACACATCTGGCAGCAGGGTTAAACCTCAGAAATTGAACAGCATTTACCAGGAATTTTGTGAACTTTGAAGTTACTCTGTCAAGCAAGAAGAAGCTCTTGTACTCTTTATTTTGGAGGGAGGGGAGAAAAGAGGGGTCTCTGTCCTCTTCAGATTTTTACAAATTGATTCCTGCTCCTGCAAACATTGTATACATTTAATTTTATACTCAGGACCGATTCAATGACATGATTAGAAAGCATGTCAGCAGGCATGTGAGTGTGATGAAAGAGCATTTTCAAAATTAGGCCTGATTTTGCAAAACATGAGCTTGATTCTGTATTCTGCCAAGTCCTTTTGACTTTAATTCACTTTCAATCGAGCATGTTTATGGGTCTGAGCAGGGCGGAGAGCTTGGATATATTTCTTCTAAAAAGTAATTGAAATGAAAACAGTCTGTGTGTGTGTTCACTATTTTTTTATGGGACATCTTAAGCAAAATTACAGCATTGCTCTACTCTACATAGAAGATAGCTCAGTGGATTAATAGTTTAAATCCTAGGTTACTGATCTCAACCTGGGTTCAACTTGTGGGTGGATTTTTATTTGTTGAGAGGAACAGAGTGTTGGTCTTAGTTGGACTTTGCAGTTGATGACAATCTCTGCAATGAAATGGGCTGCACATTTCATGCATGTATTGGGAGGAAAGCCCTAAGCTGGCACAGAAAGTAGAATGAAAGTTCTCTAAGGTGAGATTTGAAACCAAGTCATGAAATTTATAAGGAAATGCTATTTGGTTGTGGCATTTCAAAATCGAGTCCATTGCATCTGAAGTCCACTGTATTCCTTCCATTTCTGAGTTTGGAGCAGCCTGGGTGACAAACAAGTTGAGATTCTTTCCTTTTCTTCTTTCTGAGTGTCTTAAGAGCAAAGGGAGAGGACAGAGAGGAGGGATCTATGGTAATTTTACAGTATGATGCATTGCAAGAGCAGAATTTGGAGTACAAGTTAGATCAAGCTTTTAAAAAGCAAGAAAATTTTTAAAATATTTTCTCTTGAAAAAAGCAGGTTGGTTCTGGAAAAGATATGTCCTCTTTCTTCTGTTTGCCACACTGCCCAGAGAAAATATCCAAATGTCCATGTGAAATCTTTTTCACAGGGTTAACTCTGCCAAGATTTTTATTCCATGAATAGGAAATCCTGTGAGAGCTGAGGCTCTCTTCAAAGTTTCTCATTGTTTCTGTAGCAGTTGTAGAGCTTATGAACTGTGGGCTAACAAGTAGTCTATATCAAAAGTGTTGAAAACCACACCGAGCATCCTATGTGGTTTCCCTATCTGTGTACCAGTTTTCCTCTTTCGCATTGTTGTAAATCTGAACTGGCTCCATCTACTGAAGTAATTGGATTTAAATTGATTGAAATGAGAGCGGGATGAGGATAGTTTTTGAATATCAAGCTTTACAGGTAGGACAGACTGAACCAGAGCTGTCGATCACGTTAATGTGGGATGTGTGTGTGTGTGTGTGTGTGTGTGTGTGTGTGATGAGATATAATAAAATAATCCTCTAGACTAAAACTTCCCCGCAAATGCCTAAGAATTGAGGTTGCTTTAACAGTACTAACTGGTGGTATATTTGCAATGTACCCGGTTTGATTGCTTTAGAGGACTAAAATTTGACTACTGTATGGCATGCAACATGTAATATTTCTTTCCTTTCCCAACTGCTTTCTATTACGTGCCCAGGGTTTAGACCGCTCCAATTCCTGGGTAAACACTGGTGGTCCAAAAGCAGCCCCATGGGGATCCAACCCCAGCCCAAGTGCAGAGTCAACACAGGTGGTGTCTTCAGTAGAGGTTTTTCTGGCTTTGTTTTCCCTGATGTTTCCCTGTAGAATATCTTTTTTTCAGTGTATACTCTGATTTTGGTGGTTTGCTTTTTTTTTTTTAATCCTTGAAAAATTTGTGAGTTTTATTTTATAAATTAGCATCTTCTCCTCCACCACCTTACCACACTGCATGAAAAACCTCAAAATGTGTGAACTTATCCCCTTCCTTCATTTCAGTGGTTGCTGGTCTGTGAAATGTAAATGCTGTGACTGCTCTGCTCTGCTCTGCTCTGCTCTGCTCTTCTCTTCTCTTCTCTTCTCTTCTCTTCTCTTCTCTTCTCTTCTCTTCTTCTCTCTCCCTCTAGTTTTTAACATTAATTTCAACTTCAGGTGGAGCGCATTTCCAATGGGAACATTAATCACAGCTTCATAGTTTTGTCCATGTTTGCTTTTTCTTTTGTCCATGTTGTGAACCATTTTGCCATTTTCATCAAACATTTAGTATTCATAGTCAAGTAATCCTTCATGACTGTTTGAGTGGAATATCGTTAAACCAAAATTGATACACATGTAAAATTCTCTGTTAAAACATGTAAATTTAAAGTGCTGGAACCACTGACTTGCTAGGTCCAATTGTATCTGTTCTGTGTTGCAAAGTATGAAAACTTCAAGCAGCTTCAGTGAGAAAGACTTAACTTAGCCCATGTTGCCTGCTGCTTTCCACTGCATGGTCGCCTTGAACATACCTCTCAACTGTACTTCCTTCCAAATTTACCAGTCTTCCAGAAATATTCAGCCTGAGTTCACTTGCACTCATGGAAAATTATTTTCGTGAGAAATAGAAATACTTTCAGTAATTTTTTCATTCCCTGCGCTTATAGCAGTGTCGCTGTGTGGTACATCCCCCCCCCCGCCCTTTTGTCTCTGGTAGATTGAGAGGTATGGCCCTGAAAGTTGGAAGTATTACTTTCCTGACATATGCATGTTGATAAAATATAATTATGGAAAAGTTTCATGCTTTGCAGCATTAAGTGTTTTTGTGCATAGGAACATGCAGCTATTTAAAGAGCTTATATGTCTTAAAACAATAAAAAGTGTTATCATTTTGTTTAAACTAGATCTGTGAATGAATAAGACTTTGAGAATGCATAAAAAGGTATAAAGACAATAAAAGCCTACAGCTGGAACAGTATTTTTGTAAACGTACGTTGTCCTTGAGCTGCAAAACCCATCCACAGCAAACTTTAATGTCCTGTCATCATTCATTCATCTCCACTCCGTAGGCTACGGATCGAAGTTGTAATCGTATGTCTTCGCACACTGAGACGTCAAGTTTCTTACAAACATTAACAGGACGATTACCAACTAAAAAGGTAGATTTCAGTGAAGACAATTGATCTTGTGGGGCAGGGAGGTGAAGTCATTCTAAAACCATGATGCAATCTATTCTTTTATTTATAGCCTGATTTTTGTCTGAGGTCATTAGGAACTGCTGCTGCTGAGCACCTCTGAATATCCAGGCTGTAGTGAATATGAAATATTCTGACAAAGTTGAATTGGGAAGAATAAAATGATCGGGAGTAGCTTGTTTGATTTAATGTCCATACTGTTTGGAACCAATTTATTACTGGCTTTCAAAAAATTTGAATATCGCTGTCTAGACATGTAAGTGATACATTCTTGTGTGCAAAATTATGATGGGTTAGACGGTTAGCATTACAGGTGTGTTCTGACCTCAGTTTTATAGGTGTTAATGCAGAGTTGCTCCAGAAAGTGAATGGAAGTTACTTTGGAATTACGCTCCCTTAAATGAGATGAGATTCTACTAAACAAAATCAGAAAGACAAAATGTCTTGACTTTTTGAATAATAAAAATGTAGTCCTTGACAACTTAAGTCTGTGGTTTGGTTTTCCCGGGAAAAGAAATCAAGAAGCTGGTTCTTATTCCCACGTTTCTTCCTTACGGTTTTGTCCTTTTTGACAGTAAACATATCTTTGTACAAATCACTTTATATGTCCACTTTTTACTCCTTTTTCCTGCAAAAATCAGACCAGGCAGAAAGGTAGACTTTTGAAATAAACTCATTTGAGCACCAAACTTTTTTTGGGGTGGGTGGAAAATTCTTTTGATACTTGAAATTCAGTTTTGAAGCAAATTCTGTGAAGCATTTCTCACATCACATATCATAACATTGTCCTTCGTTGTTAGTTGGGGGTTTCTTTAAGGGACGTCACCGCTGCTGTCATGTTCCCACTTATTATTTTGCTTAACCTCATTGTTTGCCATACTTTCCATGGACTGAGCTACCATTTCTCATGCGGACTGTATTTGTGAGCTGATTTGAGACTCAGGCTAACTCTGGATTTGAATCTGTGTAGCTTTTTCACGAAGAGCTGGCCTTACAGTGGGTCGTGTGCAGTGGAAGTGTGCGGGAGGCAGCCCTACAGCAGGCCTGGTTCTTCTTTGAACTGATGGTGAGCAAACTGGAAACACCTTGCTTATGGTCTTAAAATTCACAGTTTAAAACACCGTGGTAACAACTGCGCTTCCCTTCCCCTTCATTTCTACAAGTGACACTGTTGTAATTTATGTTCCTATAGGTGAAGAGCATGGTGCATCATTTGTATTTTGCTGACAAACTGGATGCTCCAAGAAAGAATCGTTTTCCTGAGCGTTTCATGGATGATGTAACTGCTTTGGTCAGCACAATTGCTGGTGATATAGTTTCTCGGTTTCAGAAGGTAATAACAAACAATTGAACTTAACCCAGGTCAGAGCTCAGGCACCAGAGCTCTGGCCTGTTGTGTGCTGCTGCCTGGGCCAAGGTTTGTCCTTTGAACCTGTAGTATTACCGTATTGCCATAGGATATCCTCTTCATTTTCTTTCCTGTTTTTCTCTTCCTTCTCCCTAGGATACAGAAATGGTCGAAAGGCTCAACACCAGTCTTGCATTTTTCCTCAATGATCTGTTGTCTATCATGGACAGAGGGTTTGTCTTTGTCCTTATTAAGACCTGCTACAAACAGGTGAATGCAGATAAATATTGTGAATTAGCTGTGAGCTATAGCATTTCTGTAACTTCCTTTGGACAGACAGTGAAGTAGGGGCACAGAATTCTGCTCTCCAGGTCTTTTTATAGAGAGCATGGTGTTCTCAGCGGTGGTTTAGTGTTTATGCCTCTCTGATTACACTCTTATGTGTGAATTAGGAGTAATTCCTGCGAAACAAATGGACATGCCCTGGGAAGGAAGAATTTTTCCCTCTGCTCATCACATTCAGAAGGGTAATTGAACCAAAAATTAGAAGGAGGTTGTGTGGGGAAGCTCAAACTGTCATAGTTTGTGAGTGGGTCTCTCCCTGTATGATCATATTGATCACCAAGCTCCTTCCATCCTGATCAGCCGACAGTAGCCCTGACAGCAAGGTCTCCTCTCCCATAAGGAGGGTTTCTACATTATGCCTGGCTTCTTTGCAGCAGTGTAGCAGGGAAAGCACCTTGAACCACAAAGTTTTGTTTTGACTCTGCTACAGAGTCTAAAACATTTTATAGTAAGGGGCAAGAGCAGCAATTACCTTTGAACTTTGTTGCCTACTGTGTGATTAGCTGACTTGCATCTTTGGCCTGTTAACCCATCGCAAAGGGTACAGTCCTGATTCTTGCAACTCCCTGCTGAAATTAATAGGCTGTAGATACCATGTGTGAAGTACATGGTTCTTAATTTGCTTATGTAAAGATGGCTGTTACACGCTTCTTGTATTGATATATGTGCTGGTGGTCAGGAGATGTATGCCTCCTGTTCATCAAACGTATAATCTGTGAGGTAAGAGGTACAAAGAGGTAATGGGAGTATGACTGTTTAATGACATCAAACTCTTTAGTTTGAATATTGCTGTGGAAGAACTTTTTGAGAGCAGTGATGGGACGCCGCGAGGCTGGTGCTGCATTTATAATGTGTTTTGGTGCTAACTGGAATGTTATGGATTGAACTTGCCAGGTGTCTTCAAAGCTCTATTCCTTAACAAATCCAAGTAACCTGGCGTCTTTGAGACTGGACTTTCTTCGCATCATCTGCAGCCATGAGCACTACGTCACCTTGAATTTGCCTTGCAGCTTGCTCACACCGCCTGCATCTCCATCACCGTCTGTGTCTTCAGCAACTTCTCAGGTACTCTCTGTAACAAGGATCTTGTGTGGAAATGCAAGTTGGGCTTTGTTCTGAGCCTTAAGTCTCATGAGGCCTCTTTTATTATTGAAAAAAGAAGACCCACTTTTCTTTTGTAGTGTCCACACATCCTTCTGTCCCTAGGGACCTAGTCCCCTCCCATATTGGACAAATGCATGAACATAAGTGAGGCATTATAGAAAAGGCTTTGACCGGTTTTACCCTTTTCTCACAAAACAAGGAGCTTTCTTCCTGCAGTAGGTTAGTCCCATTCTTCCTGCAGTAGGTTAGTCCCAGTCTGCTCAAAAAAAGGTAATTTGAATTAACAAGTATCATTCAAGTGGATTAATTAGTTCCAAAATTAAGTAAACTAAATCAAATTAAAGCCATCTTAAGCCGGAATAGCAGCATCCATGCCTGTGTTAAAAGTTTACCTAATGCACTTGTAAAGGTGATTTGGCTTAACTTCCCTAAGTACTCCCCTGTAGGTGAGAAGCTAATAATGACAAACAGAATTAATGAAAGAGTTAGTAAGCTTGTGTGCAATGTAAGCAGATGTGCCTAAATTCAAAGAAAAGAGGGAAAAGGTAATTTACATGAGATTGTCTTTAATTCTGGACAGTGCTTCTACAATTTTTTATAAGCTTTAACTCTCTGTGTTCTCAGGGGACTCATTATGCAACTTCTGAAACTTGTTTTTTTCACAGAGTTCTGGGTTCTCCACAAATGTCCAAGACCAGAAGATTGCAAATATGTTTGAATTGTCTGTGCCTTTCCGCCAACAGCATTACTTGGCTGGGCTTGTGTTAACTGAACTGGCTGTCATTTTAGATCCTGATGCAGAAGGGTAAATCTTTATATTTTTTTTCCCCAAGCATTTTCTGTAATTCCAAGTAAAATGGTGGATGTCAAGCAAGTTCTGCTCTGTGGCCAGAGTTGATTTAAACTTAGAAGCTGAGAAGTTAAGAAACCAGTTCTATAACTCTAAGAATCCTCTTCTTTCTCCCTGCCCCTTGTATTTCTTACTTCCTTAGCCCTGACTATGTAAATGTGATTCTAGTCACATTTTCCAGCTGAAAAGGAAGGAAAGAGATTCCTATTAGACCCCCCAGCTGGCTAGAGGGACATGTCTAGAGCTCTAGGAGGAAAACCACTTTTCTCAATTGTAACAAGACAATAATTTTCAACACTAAGGAAGTCTTTGTTGCTGGTGGTTTTAGATGTTATAATACTTTCCTGCTGGGGTCCTCCCAGCTTTTTAGAAACATAAATTATGTGTTGGTGAGGCCTCTATGGGGAACATGAACAGAGTCAAGCATGCGGAGTTTGTGGATGACTTGCCCGGCCTGTGCAGCAAATAATTTTTGAAGTAGGAATGCGGCCTGTAGTTCTGACATCCAGTTTGTTACTTGTGTTATTTAGGGCTATATTATGACTTACCCCTTTAAAATGCATTTCAGTGGAAATTACTGATTTCTTCTGTATTCCTAAGTTCTCTTGAAGGCATTTTTCTAAGGATGGACCCAGAAATATCAGCAGAGTCAACAAATGCTGGTGATTCGTAGAGAATTCTGCCCCTTTGCTGAGAGATGCCAGGCGTGTGCATTTCCATTAATTGTTTCCTGTTGGAAAAGAAAGTGATGACATAAATTGAAATATTTTCTTGTATATGTACATAACACTGCAATCCCATTTGTTTGGCCAGAAACGGAAAAAGCAGCAAATCTTTGCCCATGCACGCTGTCTTCAGAAGTGCCTTCTGTAGCATAGCAACATCCTGCTCACCAATTAGAAATCAGATTCTGTCTCTGATCATATTTGCTCTTGTTCTTCACACACTTTCTGTTCTCATCTAACCTGCCTCCTGAGTTCTTGCCTGGACCTGGATGGTAATCTGTGCCCAGCTGCACAGAGGGGCTATCAGTATGATCTTACTAGTGTCCACTGGAGACAGCTCCTGTCCCAAACCCTGACTAGACAAAAAAAGCCCACTGAATTCTTTGATATCAGTTAAGTTCTGGAGATACATTTTAATCAAAGCTCCTGAATTTTGGTGGAGACCTTTAGCCTTTTACGAGTCATGCATTTACTTGTTATGATTTTGCAGAATAACCCTTTAGTTGCAGCTCACCACCTGTTCTCAGGCTTCAGCCTTCTACCTTTGCCTGTGTAGAGATGTTTTTGGAGGATGGAAGCAGAAATTCAAAGGTTATTTGGAACTGGTACCCTGCCCTGTGTGTGTGTGACTCTATTCTTGCCAGGCACATGTGATAATCTCAGCCAGCGAGGTGCCTTTGGGATTGGTCAGAAGAATTGCAAGGGAAAG